CAAGGAAGAGGTTAACCCTCTCTCCCCCCCTGTGCACCCCGGGTGGTCGAATATTAAACCACCCTTTTTCGAGCTTCCAAAAGGGGGGGGGGGGGGGGGGGGCGGGGGGGAGGAAAAGACACACAAAGATGAGTGGTTTCTAACAGAAAAACAAACAAAGAGGAACAACCCAAGAGGTCATCAACAGGGGATTGGCCAATGAGGTCCCTCCAAACATCAGAATCCTTCACAGCAGCCGTTAAAATGATGGAGGCAGCTCGGGATTGAAAGAGAAGCCGCTCCCCAACAAAGATCTCACCTGAAAGAAGTTAGTGTAGAACGCGGAATCAATGACCCTTGTGGTGTAACATTTGAAAGAGAAGAGAGCCATGGGGAGGGGTGTATATGCATGGGGAAATTCTGGAAGGACACACAAGAAATTGCTGAAGATGGTTACTTTGTGTGAAATAGGACAGGAATGAGCCCAAGTGGGGAAAAAAAAACCATTTTCAATTGTATACACTGGTGTACAGTTCAGCTTTTGTTTGCCATATGTATGTTATTTTCATGCTAATAAAAGATCAAATTACACACACACCAGGGTGAGTCAACATCTTCTGCATATTTGGGATAGGGAGTAGGAGGAGAGTTTTCTCAAGGAGCCAGAAAAGAGTGCATATCCTGAGGGGGGCAGATAAAATGCTCTGGGGTTTGGAATGAAAGGAGGCAGGACCACCTCTGGCCAGAATCTGGGGGAGTTTCTAAGGCCACAGGAAGAGGCAGTTTAAGCTGCACCAGAATTATAAGCAGGTGGCGCTGGGCAAGCCAGGTGGCTGGGAAGGGAGCCCCAGGTGGAGACGATGTCAACCAAGACCTTCGAGGTGGGACTGGCTGAGCTCGCAGGGATTCTCTGGGCTGTGAGGCAGAGCAGGGAGGTCAGGGCCAGGTCATGGAAGGCTAAATGCCAGGAGAGAGGGTGGGGTGGGTCTAGTCCAGTGGTTCTCAACCTTCTGGCCCTTTAAATACAGTTCCTCATGTTGTGACCCCAACCATAAAATTATTTTCGTTGCTACTTCATAACTGTAATGTTGCTGCTGTTATGAATCGTAATGTAAATATCTGATACGCAGGATGGTCTTAGGCGACCCCTGTGAAAGGGTTGTTCGACCGCCAAAGGGGTCGCGACCCACAGGTTGAGAACCGCTGGTCAAAGATGGACAGCAGGAGACTGATCAGACCACTGGGTGGCAGATGTCAGACGAAGGCAGGAGCAGGGGAAGGTTAAGGCAGAGAGAGGTGAGGGGTCCTGAACAGGGAAGTGGCATGAGCAGGGGTGGATGCTGGAGCCCAGACAGGCCCTTCCCCACCTACGCTGAGGCTCTGGGGGCATCACCTCTGGGGATGGCAGCTCCTCGGGGTTCTGGGAGTCCAGTGCCTGTGTCACCAGCATGTCCCCCAGGATGGTGCGGAGGTGGCAGGCCATGACAGCCTGCTGTTCCAACCCACAGTGGTTCTCGAGGGAGAGGATGACAGGGTATGGGGACAGCTGTAGGGGGAGAGGCAACAGCGCAGAGTCACTCACCCCTTCTTTCCTCCTCCCATCCCAACCAGAACCCCTACTACATGCAGCCCCAGCTCCTTCAGGGCAGGCCGGCCAAACCAGGGCTCTGGAGAACCCACTGCGGGGAGGGTGATGTGGGACACACCTGGGTGGGGTCAGCCTGTACACGGAGGGACAGAGGTCAGATATGGGGCCTCGGGGAGGAGTGGACTGTCTGGGAGGCTGAGGGCAGCTGCAGGAATGGTTTTCTTTTATAAATGCTCTTTATATGTTAATGACATTGACCATGTCATTAGTATGCAAACTCCCCCTCCCCCTTCGTCATTTGTTGGTGGTAAGATTTGTGTAGCCTGACTGAAATTGCAGTTTTATGTAGACACCATAGTATGCTAAGCTCCTCTCTCTCTCTCTAGCTTCTCTTTATGGCTTACTCTTTGGCAACAATTATTAAAATGTCCTTCCCTCCCGCAAGGTTTTCTCCTGGAAATACTGAGATTTTAATACATTTACTGAATACGAGGGTGGGAGAAGGAAGCCCCTCACTCAGCTTTATTCTACCCCACTGGCCGCTGTCCCAGCCGCACCTGGGCAGGGAGTGATTCTCTGGGCAGGGGTTTCTTCCGGGAGGACTGAGGGGGCTGGGCTCACCGTGAAGGCATGGTCACGCACGGCCTGGACCACATCTCGGAAAAGGATCTTGGAGGTGAGCGTGTGGCCATGGTAGATGACGGGCTCCCCTCCTGGCCCCTCCCAGCAGTCCAGCTCCACACAGCGGCATCCCTGGGCGAAGGCTCTGTGGACAGACAGGCAAGGTGTCATGTGGGTGGCACAGATCAGCGAAACAGACCGGTGGGCCCCCGGAAGCCCACAGTGGGAGCTGAGCCCCACTTTCCCGCCAAACGGGGCTTCTAGAAGGGTTCACTGCCACCCTCCCTGCACGGGTACCTAACGTAGGCCTCAGTGCTGCTGAGCCCCTGAATCTGGGAGTCGGTGAGGTAGGTATTGTGGGAGGAGGAGATAAAGTAGTGGGCGAGGGGCTGATCCATGTCCTGGAACATGCACGTGTGGGCGGGGTTCAGGGCGTCCCCCTCTGGTGACAACAGGTACATCATGAAGCCATCCAGTGTCATCAGCTCGTGCTGCTTGGCTGCAGGGAGGGGCAGAAGACAGCATCAGGATACACAGGGGACCCCCCCTTCCAGCCCCAAATGCTCCAAAGCTCACTCCACTTAGTACTGATGAGCACCTGTCTACCGACTGGACTCGACAAAGTTACGCCAAACCCTACGAGGAAGGTACGTTACTCTGTCAGGTTACAGATGTGGCAGCTGAGTCCGGAATTGGCGAGATCACCTACTCAGGATGGCACCCACAGCCAGGAACAGCAGAGCCCCCTTATCTGGGAACCCAGATCTATCCGACACCACGACCTGGGCTGTGTCGGCCCCAGCCCCTCGGTCAGACCCCCACCTGTCTCATTGAGCTCATAGGTCTGGATGAGCTGCTGGGCGTGGGCCAGCGTGGCGCCGTCCTCGCCCTGGTCCTCCAGGAACTCCAGCAGCTCGGGGGCGCTCAGCACGCGGTCCTCGCCCGAGTACCGATGGAAGATCTCCTCCAGCTCCGGGCGTTTCAGCAGTCGCCGCAGAAACTCCTCAATCTCAGTCCCTTCCAGCCGCTCGTTGTCGGAGTGGTCACACTCCTAGAACGCAGAGGGAGGAACTCAGGAGAGGGGACCCCTGGGGACGCTGGCCTCACTGACACACCCAGCATCTACCATGGCCGGGAAAGCAAATGTCTCCCATTCACAGGGAGAGAAACAGCTAGTGAGGCTCCAGCCTCGCTCAAGGGCACAGCTGGTGACCCGCAGGGCTGAGATGCTCGGGAAGATCTCTCGGGTTCCAGGCCTGTCACTCTGGACCATGACCCACCCTAAGAATCAAGATGTGGGAGGAGCCCTGTTGGTGTGGCTCAGAGGTGGAGGTTCGACCTATGAACCAGGAGGTCTAAGTTCAGGGCACAAGCCCCGGTTGCGGACTCAATCCCCACTAGGGGGCGTGCAGGAGGCGGGCCATCAATGAATCTCATCATTGATGTTTCTATTTCTCTCCCTCTCCCTTCCTCTTTGAAATCAATAAAAATATATATTAAAAAAGATAAAATAAAAGATGTGGGAGGAAAACCAGTGTCCCTGGGGCAGGACTGGGCTCCTGTGCTACACTCCCCTCCTATTCATTACCATCCTCAGATTCCCACATTCACACCCAGGGTCAATGGGCAGCACAGAACTGAGGATCCACATGGAGCTGTCGGGAGGGGCACAGGTGCTGTGGTCCTGTCTTTCAGTGTCACAGGCTGGACACTCAGCAGCATCCACACAGGGGTCTGCCATGCGCTCTGACTGGGCCCTGGATGCAGAGCCCACCCCTGTGTGCCCCGACTGTGCTCCCTCAGGTGTGGAGGCGCCACACACGCCCCAGTGGAGGAGGGTGTGCACGTGGGCCCGTGGGCCCGTGAGCCGACTCCTCCCTCTGCTCCTGATTGCAAACCACACAGGTCACCTGGGCAAAGGGTTTTAAAGAAACGAAAACTACAGCTTCGCTGCTCACTTGGGAGTGGTGGGAGGCCCAAAGTCCTCCCTACCCCTGGGGTCTGCCTGAGGGGGAGGAGAAGCTCTGGGCCAGCACGCCCATCCTGGCCCCATAGCCTCGGGGGAGGGGATGAAGGGAAGGAGACCCAGGTGTGG